GGTGAAGGCTTACAGAACAAATAGTTTCTTATCAAACAGTAGTACATATACTGTTTTATGACATTGGTTAACAACCCCACAACATGTCAACCCTCTCCCTTCTTGACCTTTTTTTTTTTTTTTGGTGAAAATATACATAGCCAGAGATACACCATTTCAAAAATTTCTACACGCACAATTCAGTGCCGTCGACTACGCTCTTCCAATTGTGCTGCTGCAGCCGTTTTTGAATGATCTTCAGCAAAATTTTACTTACATTTGATATTAATGATACTATTTGATAATTTCCACATTCTGTTGGATCACCTTTCTTTGGAATGGGCATAAATATGGATCTCTTCCAGTCGGTTCGCTAGGTAGCCGTCTTCCAAATTGAAGTCTAAGGTGTGCGTAACCCAAGCCATGGTGTTTTCAATTGCCTTATATGGATGCGAAAGCTGGACAATGAATAAGGAAAATCGAAGAAGAATTGACGCTTTTGAATTGTGGTGTTGGTGAAAAATATTGAATATACCGTGAACTGCCAAAAGAATGAACAAATCGGTCTTGGAAAGTACAGCCAGAATGCTCCTTAGAAGCAAGGATGGCGAGACTTCTCACATACTTTGGACATGTTATCGGGAGGGATCAGTCCTTGGAGAAGGACGTCGTGCTTGGTAAAATAGAGGGTCAGCGAGAAAGAGGAAGACCCTCAACAAGATGGATTGACACAGTGGCTGCAACAATGGGCTCAAGCATAACAGTTGTGAGGATGGTACAGGACTGGGCAGTGTTCCGTTCTGTTGTACATAGGGTCGCTATGAGTCGGAACTGACTCAACGGCACCTAACAACAACAATATCCTATAAAACCATTTTAAATAGTGTTACAGAAGACTATTTAATATTACAGAAGACGTTGACAGTATACTGCTTCATGCCAAAAGTATGTTACAGAACAGTGTATTATGACCCTATTTTTGTTAAAAAAAAAATCTATATATATGACAAATGAGGTATAATATGTCTCCCTGAGCATCCCCTCAGCTCCCTGAACTCCGAGCACAAATGAAGTCAGCATCTTTGTGGTAGAGGCCTCAGCCCCATTCCTCAACAGCACCCCCTCAGGGCACCTAGTCATCTGTGCAGGCACCTCAGCTGGGCTTTGGAGCAGCCTCAGCCAGGCTGCCGCTAACTGCAGTTTTGGTACTACTCACCCTCCCCAGTCACTGCCGCTCTTCCGCAGGGAAGAGCTGCTCTCCCTTTTCTCACTGGGGATCCTCACAGGCCATAATACTAGACAAGATGTTCAGAAGGGGGTTGTCTCCGCGTGTAATTTAAAACTGGGAGCAGTGGTGGTTCAGTGGTAAAATTCTCGCTTGCCATGTGGGAGACCCAGGTTCAATTCCTGGCCAATGAACCTCATGAGCAGCCGCCACCCGTCTGTCAGTGTATATGCTTTCACGTTGCCGTGCTAAACAGGCTGCAGTGGAGGTTCCAGACTAAGACAGACTACTAGGACGAAAGACCTGGTGGTCTGCTTCTGAAAATCAGCCAATGAAGACCCAACGGATCACAACAGTTTGATCCAGAACCGATCGTGGGGATGGCACAGGATCTGGCAGCGTTTCATTCTATTGTCCATGGGGTCGCCATGAGTCAAGGGCTGACGCAAAGTCAGCCAACAACAACAACACTTTAAAACCGGTTCCTGTACTCAGAGATCCTCAAAGCCCCCGAGCAACCCATGCTCTTGTTTTCCCTCAGGCTGGCTTCCGGCCCAACTCCCACCCCCTCCCTGGGACAGCAGCCAGGGTTCCTCAGACAAATGGATGGTCTGCACCAAGGTGCTTGCAGCTTGGAAATGACAGCGTTTCTAGCTTCTACGTAGCCCGTCAAGCCTTTCTTCTTTCTTTGTTGCTTTGTTTTTTTGTTTGGCTTGGGCTCCAGGTGCAGAAGGCTAAATTACTCATACTCTCCTTGGTTCAGGGCATGCTCTAGTCTTTGCAAGGACTCTTCTTGTTTTTTTCTTTATTTTCTTATTCCCTTTTATCCTCATTCCTCTTTCTTGCTCTCCACTCACAATCAGCAACCATGTGATTGTGCTCGATGTGCAACTTATTTTGTGTCCGTCGTTGTAAAACATGTATTGTTTTGTTGCGTGCTTTTTTAATTTACAAATGCTTTTGGCTATAAGTCTCTTTCTCTTTTTTAATTCTCGCTAAGCACCGTGCTTTTAAACGTCCATCGATCCTGCTGTGTGTATATCTAATTCATTACTTCCAGTAACTGTAATATGCCAGAGTCTGTGTGCTCCGTGTTGCCCACCCCTTCTCCCAGTGACAGACATGTGGGTTGACTCAACCCCGGCTCCACAAACATCTTTGCAACGGGCATCTTTGCACATGCCCTTTGTATTGTTTCCTAGGGCTGCCATGAAGTGGGTGGCTTATAAGAACAGAAATTTATTGTCTCACAGTTTGGGAGGCTGAGTGTGAAATCAGGGTGTTGACCATGTTGATTACTTCTGAGGGCTCTGAGAAACTATTCCACGCCTCTCTCCCAGCTTCTGGCAGCTTCAGGCATTCCTTGGTCTATAACTGCAATAATGCCACGTCCTTCCTCTGTCTCCTTGTGTTTATGTATGTATATCTTCTCCTTTTATAAGGACACCACTCATATGGGATCAGGACCCCCTCTACTCCAGTAGGAAGCCTGGTGGCATAGTGGTTAAGATCTTGGCTGCTAACCAAAAGGTGGCAGTTTGAATCCACAGCTGCTCCTTGGAAATCCTATGGGGCAGTTCTACTCT